GATGCGGTCGCTCGGAGGAACGGAGCAGACCTCCAGGTGAAAATTAAGGTGCACTGTTGCACTCTGTCGTCAACACGCAATACTGGAATACATACACTTAGCTGAATTGAATTGCATCTTGCAAGTAAGAACTACCTACCGTCTCTAGCTCATCTGTTAAAAAACGTATGTGTATAGAGAAACGAATGGCACAGCCATTAGTTGCTAAACTGAGCCAGAAATTTTGGCACCGTATCACAAAATGTAGTCAAATTGGACCACATTTTGCAATTCGGAACTATAATTTCTGGCTCATCTGTAAAAACACTTATGTGCATAGGGAAACTAATGGCTTAGCCATTAGTTTCTAAACTGAGCCAGAAATTTTGGTACCATATCACAAAATGAAGTCAAATTGGACCACATTTCGCAATTCGGAACTATAATTTCTGGCTCATCTATAAAAACACTTATGTGCATAGAGAAACTGATGGCACAGCCATTAGTTTCTAATCTGAGCCAGAAATTTTGGTACCGTATCACAAAATGAAGTCAAATTGGACCACATTTCGCAATTCGGAACTATAATTTCTGGCGCATCTATAAAAACACTTATGTGTATAGGAAAACTAATGGAACATACGTTGTTTCTCAACTGAGCCAGAAATTATAGTTCCGAATCGCAAAATGTAGTCCGATTAATAATCACCTGAGAGGAATTCCAGGTACTGTCAGAATTTTTCCGGTTGAATGGTGAATTCACACGAATCGGTTTTATTGCTGCATCTGATCTGGGAGCGTTTGCAATATTTTTCATAATTTTTCCGGATATGGGAAATTTTAGATTAGTAGATTTTTAAGCGAAAAATTTGCCGTCTTGTGATGTCATCAGACGGCATTTCCCGTTAGAGCAGACGTAGTTTAGCAGATTAGGTACTTTGGTCATATCTCCTCTAATAATTGTTCATTTCGAGAACCAAAGATATTCTCATGCTCAGATTGCTCAGTAGTATCTGCTTAAACATGTAGTTAAAAAGCAATTCAGACACCTGGAAATTCCACATTGCACTAATTTTTTCGTTAAAATCTTTTACCTTGTAAAAAGTGGATCTTTTTTACTGTTAAAAAAGGAAATATCATTTTTTCACATCGAATGAAAAGTTGAGTCAATTTACTCGCAGGTCGAGTCAAACGAGACTCCAAATTAGAAGGAATTAAAGTTATTAATTGTCAATTGGACGTATTTCCGTCAATCGGAACTAAGCGCCATCGGTGGAGGAAGGGAGAGGGGAACTTAGATTGGCGGCGCAATCGGGCGTCGAGCTCATTACGGCCTATACTCGCAATGCTTTATTTTGTTACACTGTATTGTACACGATAATCTCTCCAAGTAACTGTGATCTATTTAATTTCTTTTGTTTTAGGTATGTACAGTCATCTATTGTTTCGTATGAATAATTACGTGAGAAATTTCCCCAGTCTCCACTCCTGCAACTACACCAAGTATGGACAAAATATCAAGGTAAAATCAGTTTTAAATTATCATGACGCCTAGTTCCGTTTGACAGAACGCGCTATCCGGCATTCTAATTTCCTCAAAAAGAACTCAAATTGGCGCTTAGTTCCGTTTGACAGAAATGCGTCCAATTAGAGTCATTCAAAGTCAAATTAATTTAAATGTAGTCAGATGTTACTCGAAAGTAGAGTCAAAATTAACTCGTTCATCCTCAGTATGGGAACAGAGTTTTATCGTTTACAGATTTTCTTATTTTATGTTATTTATTTTATTTTTTATTTTTTTGTCACTTTATTCTACCATTTTTTTTATTATATTATGTTTTTTATTATTATTTTTTTACTATGTCCCAGCTGAGTTAAATGATTCATCCAAATGGAGTTTCTTCGGAGCTAAGTTATCCACCTGGTTTCTACCAGAAAAAAACTATGATGGAGTTTTTTAGCCATCGTGCGTAACAAGTTCAGCTTTAAGTTGATATCTCAATATAGAGGAAGAAAGCACACCGCAATCAGTTTTACCGCGATCAGTTTGAGAAAAAAACTGGTTATTACCGGGCGCGGATGAGTCTACCAGAATGAATTAATTTTTCTCCTCTTTCTAACCTCTGGCACGAGATCCTCTCCTTTTGGCAACGCTGACAATCGAGTCCTGTGTGGTCCGTCTCGGATCTCGGGGATCCGTACATGGTGGCGCATATGGGAGGATTTAGGGCCACCCCCGCGTTGATTGGCCGCGGCTAATAATCATGTTCCGACGTCGGGATTTGTCGCGGACAATGGCAACGCCACGGAGGGCGTTTCGATCATGGTCCATGGAACTCCTCGCCCGCTCCCCGCATTCAAATTGAGCTTAATTTAAGCTCCCAGAGGGATAGTCTTCATTCCCAAGACCAAGTACTTCATTCGGTCATCCTCCCAACAGGCCCCGGACTTGCCTACTTTGAACTTTGGATGAACTTTAAAGTCGCCGTGAGGTTTTTTATTTCTCAAGGGAAAAAAAGCATATAAATCGCAGCTCCAGAGGTACAAAATTTTATGCGATGGGGATTTGCAGGTGTCTGAAATTTGATGAATTCCGTGTTTGAATGGACGCTGTCAAGTAAGCTGAACACGAGGATAACCTTGGTTCATAAATTGAACAATTATTGGAGGAGATGTGACAAAATGATCTAATCTGTGAAAATGCATGCGGTTAAATGGGAAATGTCGCCAGATGACGTCACTAGGCGGCGCATTTTCTCACCCTTAAATCTATTTTCATACCATTTCCCATATCAGAAAAAATTATAAAACATATTGTGAAATCAGATCTTAAAGCACTTTCAGATGAAGCAATAAAAAAATTGCGTGCAAATTCTCCAATCATTTGTGTGGAATTTCATCAAATATTTGTACTTTTCTCGGTGATATTTTCGGCGATCTCGCGGCAATGCGGCTTTGCTGCCGTGCTAAGCAAGAACGCCGTAAATCCATCGAGATCTTCGCGCGTTTTTTGGAACTTAAGACTTTATAAAATAAAACCTGTTTTACCCATGCACCTCAAATTTTCAGGTTGTGCTCTTGATAGTATTTGCGAAAGAATTGTGTAAAAACACTGTCACGAGGTACACACGTTTTCCTGCTACGATACATTGTTTCCGATAAAATTAAAATGGCGTTCACGGCGTTTTTGAGTTGCGCGGCAGATTGGTGTAGCCATGCTGTGACGGCGGGGGGGGGGGGGGTGTCTTCGGGGCTGGAGCTTTTTTCTAAAACAAATCATACTTTTTGTGATTTTCAGGAATTTTAAATCTTTGGACTCCGCTTCTCGGTAATGTTTCGTTGATGAACTCTGCTTCCTATAAAGTATATATGTCTGGCTGCGCCCTTATTTCGCGGCAAATTACTGAATTTTCCATCGGCGACTCCTCTACGTGAGCGAGCTTTAGCTCTTTTACAATACCAAAGTTTTTGGGTCATGATAAGCAAAGTTTATTGAAGAACTTTGATTCGAGTAACTAACATTTGTATGAACCATGTCGAGTGTTGAGGCACGCATTCATTACCGAGGACATCTGTTAACTGAAGTTAAATTTCTATGACGAAACTGCGGTATTCCATATGAGCTGAAGTTCGATCCTTGCAACTAAAGTGCTTTCTCCACATACTGTCTACTTCGAACAGTACGGTCCAAATTGGAAGCCGAAAATCTGTTTCAACGTGAGAAATCTTGATCAACATTTTTAAAATTTTATCACTTCGATATGTTATCCGTATTTTGCTTCCAAGAAAAAAAGTTGCGAGATTTAAATTCGAATACTTTAAAATCGAATGTAGATTGAGTAAACATGCTGTTTCCCACGCGCCTTCAGAGATCAGAAATTAAGCAAGTTTCCAAATTGTTTTAGACGGTAAAAATAATAAAATCAGTCCGGATAAAGGAATGAAGTCAAAATTTTTGTGAAATTGTTCATGCACTCATAACAAGATTTTTTTATTCGTCCTTGAGCTGAAAAATGTTTCATTATTCCTGGTTTTTCACAATTTTCGCTGCCTAGGTATTCTGTGATAAAAAGAAAAAGTCAAATTTCAATGAGGAAGCATGCATTGTAGGGCTTTAAATCTTAACGCCTCATTGGCCCATTCATGCGTGTGTGCATACTGTTCATTCGAAGAGCCTTATGAGGTAACACTGCAAACAGCGTTCTCTGTTGGAAGGCAGCTAGGCTTCATTCCCCCAACAGATGGGTATTAAAGCCTATTCAACATCCAGCCCATGCATCCTTCAATTTGTCCAAACACTTATTATAGCCGTTGAAACTTGGAGTGCAGAGAGCCAAACATTCGAGATTCTCTGAAGCGACACTTTTCACGCTTAGTCCTAATATTGATAAACGACCGGGCATAAACATGGAAGTACAAAGAGTGGTAAATTGAAAAAATATGTGCCCGATGACCTCTCGAACAGATTCCTCTGATTTGATGCGACTCCCGTCGGGAATTCGAATGGAGAAAAGCCTGGCTGATTGTATTCAAAAGCGGAATTATGTAAATATCGCGGGATATAAATTATTGAAGAAAGGGTCTACTTTATGTGGTCGCGCATCCACCCGACTACCCGAGGTTTTTTTCGTGCCCACCGCTAGGCGCAAGAGATGAATAATTATCCTCCTAAAGTAAATCTTGCGCATCAAACGCACGCTGCTGAAATTTTAATTTGAGTTTAAGAATTCCAACTTTTTCAAAATCTATCCGCACACTGAAAAAAAAACCCTCCGGTCGTGGAAGCTGTACCTACGGGCTATATAGATATACCTTCCGCGTTCCGGGCTCAGAGGCCGGTAGTTCCGGGCGTAGCACCCGGAGCGATCGAAGCCACGGCTCCAGCACCCGTGACTTTCGGCCTCGAGCCCGGAACGGACGGTATGTCTTTATTGCCCGTAACTTTTTGATTCAGTCAATCGACTCATTATCATTTTTTGCAGTCTTAATTACTTAGCGGAGGAATAAAAATTGAAATGTAGGTTAGATTCTGTATTTAGGTGTATAAACCCACTAAAATTATGAGAAAATGACTATGAATAACATGGGTGAGGGAAATCGTAGCATGTATATGAATAAAGTCACTTTTGTCGAAGAGGTTATTCGCCAATACCGTGCCATCAAATAAAACCTTACTCGTTGGTGCTCTATCTCTAACCAGAAAATCTTCTTGGAAATTTTTACAAGGTTATTTTCCAGAAATTTTAACTAAATTTTTATGTGATTTACTCCACAGTTCAAACTTACAGAAAGCTCACTAAAAAGAGATCAATGCTTTGGTGTTTCATAGGCACCCAAAGGAAAAATTCCTCCATGTCTTAGTAAATCAAATCTTTTTAATGTTTTCATTATAAAATTGAAGAATGTGACCACATTAATACTGCTCCTAAGTCGCTCACATTGTCTATTTTAGGATTGAATGCATTCTACTTAAAATGAGTGTAAAACTGTGTGGTGTTGGGAGCTAGTGGTCATTTGAAATGTTTTGGTTTAAAGACGAACGAATATTAAAAAATGTATCGCAATAAAATTTTAATTCTCAATTTGTTTCCACTTCCGAGGCACTCCACCAGCAGCCTCTTCCTCTATACCACAATTATTCTCTCCACGTAAAATTTTGAAGAGTCCCTTGTCCCCCCAGTATGAATTCCAAGAATTCGCAATCAGCCAGTATGGTTTCCCGTTTTCTGTGCCCCATCCAAGGGCTCTTACTGCATGGAGGCCACGACAATAGGTAGTTGTCCGTTCATATACTCCTGAAAATAAGAAGAAAAGCCATGATAAAATGCCATTTTTACTGATTTATGGCATGAAAAAGATATTTAAGCTGATATCATTAGACAGAAACCAACTGCGTGCAGACACACTTATATAAAATCATGCCTTCGTGTAAGGTAATCAGTTGCGGTTGTCGTTTTTAAAGCAGGCCAAACAAATTCTTTCTTTTATACTGAATTTTATTTCCATTTCAACTATTTTCGTGTAGAGGAAATGATCATCCTCGAGATTTTTTCCCTCGCAATTTTTTCCATGATGCTGAAAAATTGTGTAATAGTCATGAAAAAACACGTTAAAATCCTCTCTATGACAAAGGAAGTTTACTTGACGTGATGAAATTTTTCCGGTCGCGATGGACTCGTTTCATATTTCCTCAATCTATGCGACAAAGACGATTTTTCCGACTGGTCAGTATATTTTATAGTGCATTTGTTAAAAAATCGATAGCTTTTATTTATTCCGAATTTCAAAAAATTACTCCTTGAAATATAAATATGAATATGAAGAGCCCTCTCTTCGACAAGAAAAGTGCCGATAAATATATTTAAATCTATTCGAAAATATTTGCCCTGGACTAAAAACAAGTGGCTCGTCAGCGTACCCGATTTGTAATGGAAGAAGTCGTCAAAAACCTGGAGTCTAAAAGTCACTGGTCCGTATGTCATGATATCCTTCTGAATCATCTTCACATCCATTGGTAGTTCATAGGCGGATTCAACTAGTAGGAAGAGAAAAACACATATAATTATCATAAAGAAACATAAATGTTATAAATTGAATGAAAAGTCACACTATTTAATTTATTTCCTTATCATATTCAATTTTATTTCCTATCAAAAGATTTGATTTGGATCGCTTGGATGAAGTCCATTTCTGAGGTACTGTCACTCAAGCAGAGAATTACCACTCAGAGGAAAATAATAATCAGTTATATAGATTCGATTAGATTTAAAACGTAAAGGGACAAAGCCAAATTATTGGGTCATCTTGGAAATTTTTCATTGAAACTCTAAGGAGTTTAATTAGTCATTATTAGTGTAGTAATTTTTTTGTTCTCGAGTTGTTGTACTGTATATTTGTGTGTCGTTCTCTATACTTTTTTATATTTTTCATTTCGTAATCGATTGGAACGGAGTTTTTTTTGTATGGATCACAACCCTGTCTCGCAAGCCTCCTCGATGGACAAAGGTCATATAATGAGAATCCAAATCAGGAGTTTTGCTAAATTCTCCGCAAGTTATTCTTTTTCGTGGCGACATCATCACGCTTGATTTTTCGTAAGAGCTTTTCACCGAATTCGGTGAAAGTGCGGCATTATCATCTTCATACGTTTCCGAACACTAAGTTCATGATTAAAGTTCAAACATCTTTTGTGTGGTTGGTACTTACATCTGTGTTTATCTTTTCTGAAAGATTTTCCGTACTGGTGGTTACTGCACTTTTTTTGGCACGTAGGTTGTTCCTCAGGAAGAGTCTCACAGCGGGGATATGGGTTGGATTCTTCCTCGCTATGATGCATGCATGGCTGTATTGAGTAAGGTTGGCAGCCTTGGGATGAATTAAAGTGTCCTCCTGTCACAACTCCTTTCTTCAAGAAATCCCAGGCCATAGTCGGGAATCTGTTCAGAAAAAAAAATCAATGAGTTTTCATGCATCAATATTGGTTGTCACTCAGGAAAATGTATTTGTATGTATATGCATGTCGAAGGCAAATAGTAGAATCAGGCATTTTGTCAAATGCCCAGGCAAATAGTCAAATACTAGGGGGCTGCGCGGCCCAATCCCCTGAACTTACAAAAACTCAGTTACAAGAACTTAGTGATTCTGACTTACAAAAACATTTCAGATTCCTCTCCTAGTTACAGATAAAAAATTCATTACGCCTGAAAGAATGAATGCTCTGTAAAAACGTGCATCTTACTAAAGTATTTTGAATGATTTTTAGCTCCTGAACGAACAATTATCCTGAAATCTTCAGCATGCCACAAAGTACAGAAGTTTTAAAGTTTTAACACTAAAATATGTGGAAAGCATTTGTAGACGAAGAAAAAAGAAGAGGTTATAGATTCGATGAGTCGTGTTTCCTAAAATATTAAAACTTCTTGAGTTCATAAATTTACAAAATTTCGTAATCCGTCAAAATTTGACTATTTGCCCAGGCATTTGATGAAATGCCTGATTTGACTAATCGCCTGCGACATAAACATGCAGACAGGAGAATATCCATCAAAGCGCCTACAATTTTACCCGTGTATGCCTAAATTTTAATCTAATCCTTTAAATTTTCAAAGAGGAGGTCTAGATCTTCTCTCCATTTTTTTATTGTTCTTTTTACTTTCTCGCTCCCCTAGTTTATACGAGTAAATGTCCTCGACGCTGAAATAATTTAATGAAAAAATGAGTTTGCGTTGTACGTTACCCTCCATGACACCCTAGACCGCATGCTTTACAGCAAAACGCTGTATACTGAGCAGAAAGCAATCCTTGGAATTTTCCCTTGGAGCTTATGCACAGACGATCTGAAGCCGCTGACATGGAGGACACGGCCTGTAAGTAAAGCACGAGTTTGACAGACAAACTATAAATTTGAAGAATATATTTTTGGAGGGACAAAATCAACAAGATGCTAGGTCAAAATTTCCCTTTACTACACACATATTAACTTATTATTGATGTAAATGTATCATTATTGAAAACTACGTTTTAATTCTACTTCTTTAAATAATTAAAAATGTTTTCTACCGAAAAATCTTCTACTCACGTGCCTTTGTGAAGTTGGAAGTCAATGACTTTAATATTTTTTCCACCAAGCGAGTGTCTTGGATCCTCAATTTTCGTTTGGTTTCTCAGTGCTCACAAGATTTTAATTACACTGAATATACTTCCTAGTGAATGTTTTCATCATTGCTTCGAATCTGCTCGAAGAAATGATCATCGCACTACGTCTTGGTTAAACTTTTTCATTGGCTTTAGAAGATTTGGTATTTTGACGTTTTGATTCCCACAAATATCTCGTTTTGACAAAGATTTTTTACTTTCGAGACTTATCGAGTGGTAGTGTCATTTTTGCGGTTTGCGGTGTATCGATGATCAGTAGTTACACGCAGAAAAAACATAATTACTAGTCAAAATTCCGAGTTAAGTATTTGATTTGCTTGTTTTGTTCATTACGAAGCTGTCTCTAAACATATCATTAATGAATAATTTATGACCAGACCAACACAAGAAATTTCAAATTCGAGGAAATTTTGGACGCATTTAATCAATCCGTTATAAACACCGTAAATATGACGGGATAATTTCTGTTAACATTAGACCATCAGACAGCAATAATACAAAATGTATCCAGCCATTGGATTATACTACTGGTAATATTTAAACTATTCAATGATCGTATCATTCCTCTGAAAAAAAAAAAAATGATCTGCTCTGACTGTCTCAAAAAGACATTCAACTTGACTTACCCAACAAGAGCCGCAGTATCCTTGATCATAAATTTCGGATATTTGGGGGCAGATTTTGCCCCATTTTTTCCGCGCATCAAATGTTTTCGGGATGTCTTTATCCAAGGGCCACGCTGGATCCTCTGTTTTGAGTGGCAGCTTGTCCGCTTCATCTAGGTTCTTCGAATCCAGCTCACCTAGCAATCTTATGACTCTGTCTTCTGAGCCCCGATCATAATTCCTTCCGGCCTTTAAAAATATTTCATTTCAGAAATTTTTAATTTTTTGATACAGACAAACCCATCCTCATAAGATCTAAGACGGAACTTCCAAATGAGAGATCGATGACGTATCTTGTTCTCTTATCGGCCAGCAGCAATGCAATCCTAGGTCATCGATTGCCCTTTTGTAGGACGGAGTTTTCTTAGTTCAATAGTTCACGTCTTTTAGATGAAAGTAAAGGTATGGCACGGGGGGAAGGGTCCGATTTTAAGCATTACGTATCTAACGAACGGGCGTCATACGACACCTCCTCCTGCTTCACGAAGAAAAAGTGTTCGGTTCAAATTAAACGCTGAAGTCTCATGGTTCAGATAACGAAAACTCTCGGCTTTAGAAACCGATTCGCTGAGGTAACTGAGGTCCGGTTCACATGGCCGAAGACTTTGGCAGCCTAAGCGAAAAAAGTTTGAGGTTCAATTACAGAACCCCCCTCCCCCCCAAAAAAAAATTGAACTAAAGTTTAGTACCTGTAACTAAACTTTTCTTCGCGGTATGCGTGCTATATACGTATTACGTACGTTTTCTGAATGGTCAGACACTCCCAAAATGAGAAGGGTCTGGTGGCTTGAGGCCAGTAAGACGGAAATCGTCGTTAAATTTCTAATTTTTGCATTTATTTTTACAAGTTGATTTAACCAACATTAATTTGAACTAGAGAGCTACGCCCCCTGACCGCTCCGCGGTCCAACCCCCGAGGTGATGCACTACTCATGTACATGTTTTGAATAGCATTAAGATTGTGGAGTGTTTTTATCATGTTTTTAAAATTATATAAGACGTATGACAGAGGGATGGAAGGTGGAAGGCGGGCTGTGGGGTGGAGGGGGTAACGGTCTGCTCATGCATGCGCTATGCATTATGCGTTACTCTAATGATTTTATATCATAGACTATAAGCTTTGCACCAATTTTGCACTAGAGTTACAAACGCCTAGTCAAGTTGGAACGAATGAGCTCTTAGCAATGACACTCTTATCACCCAATCAAGTTGTGCTCCCAATCACTCGGCATTCGGTTTGACGTAATCTACACCTATTCTACACGAAGAAAAAAACCTCGTGCGTGGGACCCGAAGTTTAGGTCATATGGATCTCTGAAGTTTTCGGATTGAGCATCTGAACACTTTAGGTCCAGCTGGCGAGGTTCGGATCACACATCTGAAACTTCAGTTCTTACATCTGAAGTACTTCACACGTGAAAACCGAAGTACTTCAGATGTAAGAACTGAAGTTTCAGATGTGTGATCCAAACCTCATCAGCTGGACCTAAAGTGTTCAAATGCTCAATCCGAAAACTTCAGAGATCCGTATGGCCTAAACTCCGGGCCCCACGCACGAAGCTTTTTTCTCCGTGTATGTTTCTGTTTCTATTTATTTACTAAGAGTTGGAATTTTGGAAATCACGGATAGTTTGTTCGTAAAATTAGTTGATATTACTTTCTGAAGCTTCGAATTAGATTAATTTAGATGTAATTAATGTAGAAAAAAAGATGTGGATTAATTATGCAAATAATAATCAAAATTTGAGACACCCATACCTTCCATGAGTTTTGCACGGAATTGATCCTATCGATACTCTCATCGCTGAGAAACGAAGTATCCTTTTCAGCAAACGTTAGGGCTGCGATTAAAAGGTTATAAAAACTCAAAATTGCCACTCTCGTCTTGATTGCCATATTTTTATCCCGTTTTATTCGAAAACCAAAGGAATACAATGGAAGATAGGCTCGCGTTTGACAAACAATCGAAGTAGGAACCATCTTGCTGCCGGCAGCGGCAGGCACATTTTGTTCACTAACTTGGTTGATATTCAAGCATTTAAAAATTAATAACTCTACTGACGGTATTATATCGACGGATCAAAGCGCTGTCAATCTATATCTAAGGACGATTCATCAATGAAGTGGACGATATGAAAGCTGCTCTTAAGCAACCTGGAATGTTGATTCTGCCCGTCCAATCTGAAGAGTACTTAAGCATTGTCGGGAAGCATCAAATAAAATGAAAATCATGAATCCTATGTAGCGAAAAGTTTACCTTAAAATGACTTGCATAGACTTACATTGTAATTATAGTACCTGAGCTGAGGTCTTCCGGCTTGGCAGCCATCATTGGAAGGGTAAAAAAATTGAAATAAAAAACTGTGTTTAGACTGCTATAACAGTGCGTGGTCATAAACTTTCACCATTTTAGTACGTAAATCGATGGAAAAGGTTTTTCTCGGTCATTTTATTATGGGAGTAAGAAATCATCATAGTCTACAGGTATCCACGTCAAAATTTTCGTGATAAAAAATTGAGAACGAGTGGTTAGGTTGGACACTCTGTATTTTTTTTTTCAAGTTTTCCTTAAAACTACAGAAAAATCAAATTTCGCAGATTTGATGTAGTTTGACAAAGCAATCTGTATAAACGTTTCGACTAGTCTAAGTGTGATAGTAGGAGTGTTGAAATTGCATCAAGTACAAGATCATTAAAAATCAGTAGCTGGCAGCTGTAGTGGTAGTGTATTTTAGAAAAATTCCAAAGAAAAATTTGTTTTTCTATTTTTGTTTCTATTTCACTTTCGAGGCACTCCTCCAAGAGCATTTGCCTCTATACCACAATTATTAGATCCGCGTAAAATTTTGAAAAGTCCTTTGTCCCCCCAGTATGAATTCCAAGAATTTGCAACCAGCCAATATGGTTTTCCGTTTTCTTCTCCCCAACCGAGGGCTCGGACCGCATGTCTGCCAAGAGTTCGTGACGTTGTATTCTGGTAGACTCCTAAAAGTAGAAGAAACACGCTGATAAAATCATATCCTTTTTGAAAGGAAGAGATATCAATCACATTAGACACATCTATAAAAACGCCGCTATGTACGAATAGAAATAATTCAAAACCAAATATGTCAGTTCTGAAGTAACCCCAAAAAATTGACCACTGTGGACAGGGTAGAAATTTAGACACCACAATATTTGTTTCCTCATCAAAACACGCAGAATATGGTAGAGGACATTCTGCATAAAAAGTAGAGGAAAGAAGTCGGAAGTTCATAATTTTCTTTAAATTGAAATCTATGTCGGTTTGAACCAATTTCGTGTCAAAGAAATGATACAATGTCTTAATTAATTTTGGTCATGATGCTTCAAAGATTGAATTAACTCTGGGAACGTAAATGAAAAGGACTTTGTGTGGTCTTATTTCTGTGAATACGATCTTAATAGCACGTGTGGAAGTACCGTCAGCCTATTAGTATACGATTTAGTTACAACTTAGGTTTGACTCTCATTGTCGGATTTTCACCAACGCTGTCTGGTTCAGTGATAACCTGCCCCCAATGAAATTAAGAGAATTAAGAACATAATTTAAAGAAAAACCAATTGGCCACTTTAGGATCTTCTTTAATCTATGTAACATTAATCAGGATAAAATGGAAACGGAAAATAATTGTATTTACTTCTTAATTTACAAAAGTTGAACTAACTTTTGTTTTCACTTCTTAATTTATTTACAAGGTATTTAGCGGTAATATCAACTATATATTTGTTCCTAACTTGTCAAAAATCAGTGAAAACCAATTTTTAATTACTTTTTCATCTTAAGCACGTGTCAAAGTGTTTCAAACTCACGTCAGTATAGTTCCAATTAGGTTAAAAACAGTGACTCAACAACTTACCTGATTTGTAATTTCTAAAATCTGTATAAACCGTAAAACTGAAAGTTACTGGGCCATATGTCATTATATCCTTCTGTATTCTTTTCACGTCCATGGGTAGCGTATAGTTGGTTTTAACTGTCAAGGATAGAAACCTCAATTTTAACCATTATTAAAGTAGCATAAGAAAGATGTTAAGTTCTCATCGCAAGGGGAAGAAATAACTTCATAATATGGTTCCGTTCCTATCATGTATTCTTTGCGCTGATTTAAAACTAAAAAAATTGAAAAATATCTGTTGATCAGACAAGAAAATTCAAATTTCCATGACAAACGCGACTTCCCGGAAAATCTGCACGAAACTAAGACGACGATGAAAAAATGAAGGTCATTTGACTGTATGAAACTCAGGACATTTTTACATTCAGAATCCAAAAATACACAGAAATACATCTATTGCATGCCTTGAATTGTCCTCACACTTTTGGCTAACGAAGTTTCCTTCGACAAACGACCCAATTCTCCCACTTACCAAATTCAATTCCTATCAAAAAATTCCTTTTTTTTTAAATATACAATAGGATTTGGCCGAAGAATTATTCTAAAATCAAATCTTAAAAGGACTGCAAATTTTCATCTTACGTCTCAACAATTTTTCGCAAGTTGGAATTTTTTTAAAAAAAGAAAATAATTAAAGGAGAAGCTCTCCTTGATTTTTGAGGCCAAGAAAAGGTTTTTTTCCAATTCGATAATTCATGTTACAGTTCAACGGAATTTTTCTGAAAGGCCGTATCTGCTGTGTATCCGAATCAACTCTGTCGTGAACGAGTTCTCGCTTTACAAAAGTCAACAATTTCGATAAGCTGGACACGTACACTCCGATCTTTTCATGAGGAGCAATTTCTCGATTTCGAGTAAAGTTTTGGAGGCAGGCTCAAAATTTATTTCATGTGAGTAGGACTTACATCTGTGTTTATCTTTCCTGAAAGAATTGGTGTAAAGGTCGTTAGTGCATTTCGTTTGGCAGGCGGGATCTTCTTTAGGAAGGGTCGCACAGTAGGGATATGGGCTAGATGCTTCTTGTATGTTGTGATTACATGGCTGGAGAGAGTAAGGTTGGCAACCTTTGGATGAATTAAATCGTCCCCCAGTCACAACTCCTTTCTTCAAAAAAGCCCAGGCCATAGCCGTATATCTGTTAAAAACCAATTTCAACCGTTTTTCATTCATTAATTGAATTGGTACGTGCGAAAACCGCCAATGTCCATTTTTCTAGTCTTCAGTTTTTTAGAGTTGATAATACTCTTAAAAAGTTGATACAACCATAAAAGGAATCGTTTTGGAATGAAAGTAACCCGGAGACGGGTACCTACACCACTTCGAGGTTGCATCCAACTCCGAAAAGTATTATCCACTCAAAGAAACTGAAGACTGGAAAAATGGACATTAGCGGTTTTCGCACGCCACGATTCAATTGAACTTGAACTCCACTTACGATTAGAAAAATAAGATTTTCCGTATACAAAGGTAGATAGTCAATGATAAACCATAGAACACATACTTATGGACTGCTCTTCCCTCCGATATCTCCAATCACAGATCTACTCCCCTACAATCAACAGAAATACAAACCCTCTTACATGCGATGAACCCAATATTACCACCAAAATTCTAAAACTCTTCACCTCTCTTAATTTAAAAATCTAAATTTTCGTTTATACTCCCATTTTCAAAATTATCTGTAAAGACGTTAACAGCCTGAGACGCTGAATGTCTTAAAATTATACTAACTAACTAACTTAATTCAATCGACTAAGGTGTGTCTTTGGTAATTTGCAGTGAGACATTTTTATACTCGTGGGTAGCACTGTGTTTTGATTATACGATTAGATATAATCAAATATACAAGCGTATCTTTAACGTAGGAACGATCGGACGGAATTATGCGATGAAGTGTCATACGTTACCCTCCGTCGCACCCATAACCGCATTTGTGGCAGCAGAACGCGACATGCTGAGCAGAAAGCAATCCTTTAAATTTTCCTTTGGAGCTTATACACAGACGATCTGAAGCCGCTGAACTAGAGGCTACGGCCTGGAAGAAAGTTACAAGTTTGATAAATGCATAATTTGAATTTGGACATTCCATTTCATTTTGGTCGGTGGTTCTTCTGAAAAGCATCATCATCTGACCGCATGAAATAACGTTTCCGTTAGATATTAGGAACACTAGTTCATCATTATCATGATGATTTCACGGCACCACCTAAACATAACAGAATCACCAGTTTACCTTCCTGCGTTTCACAGTCGCGAAACAAATTATTTGGAAAATAATATAAATTCATCGTCGAAAATCGTTTTCATTGGTAGCTCTGCATGGATTCATGCAAGAAAAAGAGAGTATGATGGATTATCATAATTTTCACCAAAACCTCGAGACTAAAAAATCTCATTTCGCCACGGATAAAGGAAATATTTTTTGGGTTGGTTATACGTAACCGACGTGGAATTTTGTGGGTTAAACGTTTCAGCAATTTTAAAGTCTCTTTTTTTATGAATCCATGGAGAGTAAGAAATAACGCTTTTCATCGCTAATTATATTCTTTTTGCGTTGATCCTCACACACTTAGATTTGGTCAGACATTGAAATCCAAATCGAAGCTGCCACTTTCCCCGTTATCGTGAAATCACCCATTACAGTCTTAATCAAAAATATGCCATGACTCGATAAAATATTATTTTGCTCCTGACAATACTTACGGATAGTCCTTTCTAATAAATGTTTTCAAATTTTGTCAGGCACGTCGCTGTATAAGAACGCAATTTACCTCATGTTTCATACTTTTTTATTCTAAGTTCATGTCATTTTAGTCCAGGCAAATAAGCCATGAAAAGGGCTATAGCCTGCAAAAATCCCGGGTAGCAATGTTTTCATCGATTCCTATGTAATTTTTGACGCTGAATCCGAATTTCAAATTTGCGCCATTAAATTCGGACCGGAAAGTTGCCAAATTTGGCAAAAATGGCCTAAAATCGGACTTTTTCCCGGTTTATGGCCTGTAACTTGCCAAAAATTGATCTGACGATAAAATTAGTTATTTTCAGAAATAAAGCTCGTTAAATTTCCTATAAAAAAGTTCCTATAAACTTTTTTGCTCAAGGCAAAATCAAGCGCGCTGGCGGGCTCCGAACTTTGAAAAATGAGCAAAAATTGTGTTTTTCGCGGTTTTTGCCCGATGTCTCCTGTTTTAATCGTCCGACGAGTAATTTCTGGACAAATTAAGTGAAGATGATAAAATTTACACCTAGTGAAATTAATTGATGTAAATAATAAGGATAACCCAACACATTACAGTATGCGCAATTTTCGCACATTTTACAAAGTTCGGAGCCCGCCAGCGCGCTTGATTTTGCCTTGAGCAAAAAAGTTTATAGGAACTTTTTTATAGGAAATTTAACGAGCTTTATTTCTGAAAATAACTAATTTTATCGTCAGATCAATTTTTGGCAAGTTACAGGCCATAAACCGGGAAAAAGTCCGATTTTAGGCCATTTTTGCCAAATTTGGCAACTTTCCGGTCCGAATTTAATGGCGCAAATTTGAAATTCGGATTCAGCGTCAAAAATTACATAGGAATCGATGAAAACATTGCTACCCGGGATTTTTGCAGGCTCTTTTCCTTGTTTGCCTGGACTATTTAGTTTTCACTCATACAAGAGTCAGGTTTCGATGCATTTTTGGCTCTTTGCTTCGAAACTGCCTTTACGTCTGTCTAGAGTGAACATTACTTCCTGATGGTTCCTTTGATTAGTTTATCACGCCATTTGAACGTCTTGTTTGACATCATCTAGCATATAAAACTACGTTCATACAGATCATTGACTTCTTCCTCCGTCCCTTGGATTCCTAATACATTCTAGTACCATTTAAAGTCTTTCGTCTTCTCTAGCTTCTACCACGTGAAGCAACTTGCCTATCATTTAGCGTATATTTAGTTTTAGAATTTGTGGTGTGGCGATTTTTTTCTCAACGCATTTATCAAGCATACTTAAATTTTCCAATCCTTAAAATTTTCATTTTGCTCTCCTTATTTAATCAAATGTAGATAAGCTCTGTTTGCTTGACGTTTCTTTCAAAAAATGTTTTCAAATTTAATGTTAGTGACATGCTATAGGCAACGAAACTCTCAACAGGTATTTCACTCTACTTACCCAACAAGATCCACAGTATCCTTGATCTTGAATCTCAGATATTTGGGGGCAGATTTTACTCCATTTTTTCCTGGCGTCAAACATTTTTGGAATTTCTTTATCTGAGGGCCACGCTGGATCATATGTTTTGAGTGGTAGCTTGTCTGTTTCATGTAAGTTCTTCGGATCCAACTCACCTAGTAATTTTATTAAATTTTCTTCCGAGTTGGGATGATAATTTTTTCCAGCCTTCACAAATAAGAAGATAGTTTTTGTTAATACCGTGAATTTCTAAAATTGCATTTCAAATGACCGCAGTGCATCATAGAAATGAATATCTAACTGGGTCACAATACCCCCAAAAATAAATTTCTCTGGCATTGTTTAAATTGGATTATTTTCGGGATTTTAATTCGTCAATAAGGTTAAGTAGGACGGGTACGTTCTTTGCGGTACTTCTAATTCAACCTGTGGTCATATTTTCTGTTATTAAAAATAGATAACAAATATATGTTTTTTGTAATCATTATTTCCTACATTTTTAAACCAATTAGGTTGGTTTAGCGACCAGCGCGCCTAATTCTATGTCAGTACAAATTGTGTTAAAATCCCGTCAACGTCGAGAAACCCTCATGAAACTGATGAGTAAATTTTCTGAAATTGAATTCATTCACAATTATATAGACTTAAAACTTTTTTTGGCAAAACCGATTACTTACTTATTTACTATTCACGATGGCCATTTCGGGTGGTAAATCGGCCATCTTGGCCATCGTGAATAGTAAATAAGTAAGTAATCGGTTTTGCCAAAAAAAGTTTTAAGTCTATATAATTGTGTGTAGTGCCGATAAAATTTTACAAGTGCAATATGCAACAATATAGTGAATTCATTCAGCCTCCTTCTTCGCATTTAAAAAATCTGCAAGACACAGATGTGTATATTATCCTCTATTGTTTGGAAGCTAAAATGTGAGATTTACAGTACTTGTAGTTTTAAATCAGAATATAAGGCAAAATAAACCAATTAGGAAAAGGCTATTTTGCTAATTATCAGACATTACGGATGATCTGAAAAATTAGTTGACATCGCTAACTTAAACTTCGAACAAGATCAGTTTAAAAATTATGAAACTTTGAAAGACCTTACCTTCCATGAACTTTGAGCGGAATTTATCCTGTTTATTCTGTCATCACTGAGGAACAAAGCCCCTTTTTCAGCACACGTTTGGGCTACCATTAAAAATAAAAACAAACTGGAAACTATTCCCTGCCCTTTGGGTGGCATCTTTTCTTTTCTTTTTTCCGAGTAAAAAAAAATTCCCATGAAATCTCGGTAAGATTTTTAAAACAATTCGAGGAAATATAAGTCCGTAGCACTAGGCGCGTTTCGCACACAAGAATGCCTATGATATCTGTCCGGGGTGATATATGTCACAGGGTGATTTTTAGACACTGACGGTATCACTTGCAATTTGAAGATAACTGATCAATGAAGTGGAAGGCGATTAAAGTGCTCTCAAAAAGTTGAACTGTCAATTATCTATGTCATTACAGAAGCTAAAATAGAAGTATTGCGCAATGCTAAAATGACTTTTCAGAATATCAGCCTGCAGCCCTGGGGAAAGAAGATCGGCTGTCACATATACCGTTTGATTTCTTCCACTTAGGTCGCAACAATCGGTTCATGTTACTGAAATATTTATACAGTTCTGTTGAAAGGTGGAAAGTTTGAAAGTATGGCCATGCGAACCAAAATGTTGAACCTACCTACTTTTGTACAGCCAATGTATTACATTGCGCTTCGGCTTACGGTTAAAGCCTCTCATTGTGGGTGCTAAGAATTGAACCGATTATTTTCCGAATCACGTGAGCGCCAAAATTGCGAATGCGAGAAAAACAAGAACACCCGTTTTATTCGTTTTTTTGACAATCTTCAAATTCCAAAAAATTCATTTCCTTTTAGAAGGTTATTTTGAATTCAAACGTGATTGATTATCCAGAGGAAATAAAGGGAAAACAGCCACTCTACATCTAAAATAGAGATTGGCGCTTACGAGATTTGGAAAATAATCGGTTCAATTGCAGTGTTATACGTTAAAAACGCCCAATTCTGAGGGAAAAGAGTTAGAGGGAGAGGGATGTGGAAAGAAAGACTGATCGGAGCGGATAGTTTTAAATGTTTTGAAAATATTTTTGTTGCAATTTGATCATTACTATCGAAGAGAGACAAACAAAAAGAAGTGATGACAAGGTTTGACAACGCCTTCTATTTATATGAAACGAACGAAAAATTACAAAACAACAATCATAAATGTAGTTTAATGATCGTAACTTCCGCCGCCGTAGCGCCGCGCCTTGTCGCGCTGACCGCACTGTGTGTTTAGCGCGATGCATGATGTATTCCCACATTCTTCTAGGCGCTATGCGTTTCACGTCGACCGCTGCTGATCGCACTGTTGTGTTCGACGCAATGCGTGAAGTATTCATGCAGTCTTGTAGGCGCTATGCGTTTCACGCCGACAGCTGATGACCGCACTGTGTTTGACGCAATGCGTGAAGTATTCATGCAGTTATGTAGGCGGTAATATGTGTTACATGCCGACCGCTGCGCCGCGCCGAGAGCTTCTCCTTTTCATCTCAAGTCCTTTGTCATCATTGCTCTCTGCGCTGCGCCGTTCCAGGCCAAATTGCGAGTTTTCGGTGTTTGATTTCTCGCTTAACTCGACTATCTAAAGGTGCTGTCTCTTGTGTCACAAAAGACGACAAAATTAGAAATTTCTGTGCTCTCAGGAAATGAGAGATTTTGTCGCCTTTCTTCGTTTGTATTTTGTTCTACATTCGATTTTTTTTTTTTTTTTTTTTTTTTTTTTTTTTTTTTTTTTTTTTTTTTTTTAATACCTACATTTAAAAAAAAATTGTAAAATTTGCCGCCATGGGCCGCAGCCCATGCGGCCACCCCCTGAATCCAGCCCTGGTCAGGAAAGCTCTTTTTGACCCCCGCCCCTCCCAAATGAAAAAATAAGCTGATTGAAGTAAGGTGAAAGTATTCTTCGTGCTCGCTACCAAAGATTGAACTAACTAGTTTATTTGATTGTCTTGGAAAGATTTATCCCAATGATTTAGTTGGTTCGCAATTTTTTATATCATTTGAACAAATTGGAAGTGGAGATTTTGAAATTTAATGAGAATGAGAGTAAAAATACAATATTTTTTTTTATTCTGTATGATATACATACGACTTAAGCTCATAAATTTATTGTTTTTTGATAAATATTTTGGAATTTTTATGTTTTTATATTTTATACTTTCGAGGCACTCCTCCAAGAGCGTAGCCCTCTATATCACAGTGATTGGACCCACGTAAGACTTTGAACAGGCCTTTGTCTCCCCAGTATGGATTCCAAGCATTTGCAATTAGCCAGTATGGTTGTCCGTTTTCTTCGCCCCATCCAAGGGCTCTGACGGCAAGGTTGCCGAGATATTCAGAAGATGTATTCTTGTAAACTCCTAGAAGCGTAGGAAAATCACGGTGATGATGTCACATTTTTACCGTTTTATGAGGAGAGCAACCAAAAGCAACAGACGAAATAAAGGCGCTGCTATGTACAGGGATAAATTAAAACTAGGAAAATGCCACCCCCACTGGAAAAAAAAGTCGCTGGGATCCAGAGGCCAGACTCTGAAAAAAGTTTGACAAGACAAAAATACTTGCAATTCAATCGGATTTTTGCTCGAATCAAAATGAAATAATGGAAAAAAAGTCGCTTGGATCTAGAGTCCAGACTCTTAAAAACATTGACAAGAAAAAATACTCTTGATTCAATCGGATTTTTGCTTGAATCAAAAAGAAATTCGCTTGGATTAAGAGGCGTGGCTCTCGATTTAAGCAAAAATCCGATTGAATCAAGAGTATTTTTTCTTGTCAGTGTTTTTAAGAGTCTGGTCTCTAGATCGTAGCGACTTTTTTTCCAGTGGAATCTACTGAAATTAAAAGGTTTGGCTCTCAAGAGTAGGTATGTTTACCTATCGAATTCCTTAAGAATCTAGACTCTGGTTCCAAGAGACTTTTTTTTCCAGGGTCTAAAATAACTTCTAACAACGGTTGCCACTAAACAAATAAGGGATTTAATCATCAAATTAAATTTTTTCTCGCAATAACTTCACGTAGAACATGGTAGACTTGTTCTTTATAAATAAAATAGGAGAGTAGTAGGTAGAAAAATTCACTAATTCCACTCATTATTGCAAAATTAGCGCTGTCGGCACTTGATAATTCAATTTCTCCCTTTTCCCAAAAACCAAGGCTACTTGAGCACGAGAGGCCACTAAACATTTTTTGGGTACTTTGCGATGAGTTAAACTTTTCCGAAACATGGAATTTTCCTCACGAGTCAAGAAATACCGCACATCGAAAGACAAGTATCGGTTATGGAAATGGAAATTAATTGAATAATTAATTTACACGGTTGTTATTTGTAGTTTCGAATGTGTGATTGTTACTAGTCTGAAAATCAATAATTTTTTTATGAAATAATGTTTTATATAAATTGACGCTGGAATAAAAATAACACTGTGATAGTGTTCCCTGTCAAAGAAGGTCCTTGACAAAGTATTTCAAAATCACTTCATAACTGTTTCAAAAGATTTGAAATAGAAACTCATTAACGTACCTGATTTGTAATGAAAGAAATCTGAATAAACTTGGAAACTAAAAGTTATCGGTCCATGTGTCATGATATCCTTTTGCATAATAGTCACGTTCTTTGGTAGAAAGTAAACGGATTTGACTGTCAATGAGAGGAAGCTCAATTGTATACATAATTTTACAGAAATATAAATTTGCCTTGCAATTAAATCTTGTGTCAAACCATATTCTGAGAATTAACTTGATCGTATTTTTCAGCGCGCGCTTATCGGGAAGTTGCGTAAAAAATTCCATCTCATTAGGATTTCCAGAAAATTGGCACAAACGTGGGGAAAAAATGGTACGATAGTAAAAGTCAAGTGTCACTTTATGGTACAAAACCAAGATCATTTTTAGATCTAACATCCAAAAATACTTCGGAATGCACTAGTGGCATGCCTTGCAAATTTTCCTATATGCTATCGAATTTCTGTCGGTCGATCAAACGACCAAATTTTTCCATATACGTTTAGTTAAGTTGTTTGCCATATGTATCGCATTGTATCGCGTCTAAAACGGACGGTGAATATTTTTTCAACGCCTCTGATTGGGTTTGACTAATCTGCTCCACGCGGCTGAATCCGCAACTGACCTACATTTTTTTTCATCACAACCGTTTTTTGTCAAATCAAATCAGCCCAAAAGAAGGAGAAGAAAAATCAATATTTTGAGGCTAGAAAAGGTTTTTTAAGTAGGAAATTTATGATTCAGTCAAGCAGAATTTTGCCGGAAGACCGTTTTCTTATGAATGTTCATCTCAACTTTGTCATTTACGAGTTCCTTTGAGGGCATTGATCTATACTCATGTAGAAGTCTCAAGTATCTTAATTAAATTTAACGGAAATTCACGTTTATTTAGACTTTTTGAAAAGACCATTTGATAAAATCTGGGTAAAGCTGTAGAAAGAACACGCTAGAAATCCATCCTGCGTGAATTTAACTTACACTTGTGCTTATCTTTTTTGAAAGACTTGGTGTACTGATCGTTTGTGCACCTCAGTTCGCAGTCAGGGTGTTTTTTAGGAAGCGTCTGGCAGTGGGGGTATGGGTTAGGTTTGCCCTTGCTGTGGTGCATACACGGCTGAATAGAGTAAGGTTGGCAACCTTTGGATGAATTAAATCCTCCTCCTGTCACAACCCCTGATTTCTTCAAGAAATTCCAGCCATAAAACGAATTTCTGTTCAAAAGTAAACGCAATAAGTTTTCATGCATTCAACTGACCACCTCACTTAGAAAATCAAGTCTGTATAATATATATTTAGAGATGCAAATATTCAATATTAAGTGACATTCATCAAAATAGGTTCAAAGATAACTTTGTAATTATATCCTGGACGACGCATCTTCATTGGTTTGCGGTAGGACATTGCTCTACTCAGGGGGTGATATTACTGTGTTTTGATTTTCGTGATTACAGTACAGCTTGATTTTTTTAAGCACTGTCAAAATTAGAAATATTCTGTTAAAATTTAAGTCTTACGCGGGGTTTCCGGCAATTTAGAAAACCTGGTAAGTCAGGAAAAATCAAATAATTCAAGGGAAAAATTAGGGAATTCTGCGAGCATCATGCCGGCTCGGCAACTTCAGTTGGTGCCATTCAAGAGAGCGCGAATCCTGAATTTGAACCTCTACAAGTAGAGAATCTGTTCATAGTTAAGTAAAATTTAGCGTAATCAAAAGAAGAAAAAATCTAAATGGAGCTCTTGATGAAAGATCAGGAAAAGCCAGGAACCAAAATCAGGGAATTCGGAAAGTTGGTAGTCAGGGAAAATGAAAAAATTCAAGGAGAATCAGGGGATCGGGATATTAAGAAATTATGGAAGTCCCGAGTCCTAAGCTGTAACCGAAACTTTTTATCTCCGATGAGCATCAAAGCTGTTTGAATTTTTTTTATTTTAGCTTCATATTTTGAATTTTAGGAAAATAAATGCGCTAAAATTAGACGGTCAAATCGCAAGAATCGTTCCTGTCATAGTTGCAGCTATATCTCGCATTGTATCTAACGTTTCCTTATTATCTGAATATTATCAGGGGAAAAAAAGTATTTAAGAGCCGCTTTTGCGGTGATCATACTCGCACTAAATCTAGGTGGTAGGTTATAACCTCGATATGATACCATTTTGAAACCAATTGCCATTTAAAATTTGTGTCGTTAAAATCGAATTTCCAAAGCTCGTTTTATAAATACATAGTAAAGCACCCCACTTTTTCCTCTTCAACAAAGAAATTAGCAATTCCTTTTTTTCTACATTAACGGGAGGCACCAGGTACCTAGACATTCTGTACGGAGAGAACTAGTTCTAATATTTTATTCGCTCTATTTTCAATTTTTCCGTTTTGATAATAACATCTTTGACGCAGAAATAATTTAATCGAAAAACATGAGTTAGGATTCTACGTTACCCTCCATCGCACCCATTGCCGAACCTCAAGCTACAAAACGCGACATGCTGAGCAGAAAGCGAATCCTGAAATTTTCCTTTTGAGCTTATGCACAGTCGATCTGAAGCCGCTGAACTAGAGGCTACGGCCTGAAAGTAATGCACACGTTTGATAAAGCTAATTTAGAGTTTAATAGTAAATCTCATTTTTACAGGAAGTTTTCAGAAAAGCATCATCATCAGGGTACAAAACTATGTGTCATTATCGGGATGATTTTATGGTACTCGAAGTATTAGGGTGAACACTCAGTTTTTAGAATTTTAAAGACTTGAAACAAATTAATTGAAAAAGCAATCAGTCCCTGTCAGAAATCTCATACATTTGCTGACATGCATAGATTCATGCAGAAAAGAATTACAAATTATGAGTAATTATCAACACTTAGACTTTGAGATCACAGAATGACATGTGTCGGTTTCAGGTAACTATGACGACATGTTTTTTTTCTATCAGTGATGTGTAACCGACATAAAATTGTGTGGGTTGAAACTTTCAATGAGTATATTTCCTCGCACAATCTTTTACAGACAGAGATTTAAACCCTTTCTAGCGATGAACATTAACGATATCTTAACAGGTATTGAAAACCCAACTTACCCAACTGGAGCCGCAGTTTCCTTGATCTTGAATATCAGCTATTTGAGGGCAAATTTTACCCCATTTTTTCCTGGCGTCAAACGTTTTCGGAATTTCTTCGTCCGAGGGCCAAGCCGGATCTTTTGTTTTGAGTGGCAGCTTGTCCGCTTCATCTAAGTTCTTCTCATCCAGCTTGTCCAACAATCGCATTATTTTTTCTTCTGAGTTCAAATCATAATTTCTTCCAGCCTTCACAAATAACAGAACAGTTTTTGGTAGTACCGCGAATTCTCACAATTTTTTTTTTTTTAAGCCACACACAGATGGATCAGATGCTGATGTATATCAGTCACCATCAAAATGGCTCACTAAGTTTTATCGTCAAAATCTCCAAAAATAAATAATGTAACCTTTTTTATTTGAAATTTTCGGAGTTTTTTAAAAATTTTCATTTGCCTGAATCAATTGGGGTGCACTTTTTTCTTCTTCTATTTCTTAGGCAACGGCGGACCTGTTTATTCAGCTTTTGGTTGTGTTTACTCCTTATATTGATCTAAAATCTATGTTATAGGCAATCGTTATTCCGTATCGGTCAGCGTGTCTGATTTAATTTCAGTACGAATTGTGTTAGCATTCTGTCAGCGACGAAAAATTCTATAGGCCTGACCAGTGGATTTGCTGAAACTGATTCTATCGGCCTACATTCTTTCTTTTGAAGAGCTTGTATGATACGGATGGGTTATATTCTTTATTATTCACGAAATTAAATGTGAAATTTATAGTTACTTGCAGCTTCCTCGCGGAATATTAGGCAAATAATAAACAAATGAAGAAAAAATTGTTTTTCTGCTCAAATCAAACTTTGTGGATGATCTGAAAAATTAGTCAAAATCGTTCCCGTAAATTGCGAATAAGCTCAGTTTAAAAATTATGAAATTTTGAAAGACTTTACCTTCCATGAATTTTGAGCTGAATTTATCCTGTTGATACTTTCATCACTGAGAAACGCCGTTCCCTGTTCTACAAACGTTTGGGCTATCATGAAAAATACACACAGTCTCGGAACTGTTACCCTCCCTGTGGGATACATCTCTACTCTCTATTTCTTAACGGGAAAGTAAATTAAAAAAAAAAAAATCAAACGAAATCAGGGAAGACTGAAGAAATTAATGAGAAATTATTACTATTCCTGCTTCTTGTGCCTTACGCACTTTGCACAATAAAACGCAGATACTATCTGATCATCAAGAGTATATAAACCCTTCCTGAGGACAGGCTTATATTCTTAGACAATGATGTTATCAGTTTGAATTGGAAGATTATTGATCAATCGAAAGATTTAACTAAAGTGATCTGAACAAGCAGAATTCTGTCGATCTCATGTGTCATTGCAGATGCTAAATATACATAAGAGTATCGTGCAATACCGTAATCGCTTTTCACAATTTTCAATCTATTTTAAACTATTCTATTGGTTCTTTTCTGTCTGTTGAGCCAATCTAGAGCATCGCGTTTCAACTTACGGGTAAAATGGTTGCGCTTTCAATAAATTATCGTTGTCAATGCTATAAATTGCCATGTTACGTTAAAAATACCCCGATTCTAAGAGCGGGGGGAGGAGGATGGAAATAGAGAAAAAAGTGATCGGGGCTGAAAGTTTTCAATATGTTTTGAAACTTTTCTTTAAAAATGCTTGTCTGAATTTATCCCTTAAAAACACCATGTATTCATAGAGCATAGACTGTGACTTAATCATTGCACCTTGCTATAAGGAAACTGTTTCGGGCTCATTCGTGTAATCTTAATATTTATTTTGAAAAATAGAATGAAATTGTGAATCAACCACTGTACTAATTGCGAGGGGCGTTGGTTCATTTGAAAGGTGTTGTTCTCAATGCTTCGGGAAAACTATAAATTATTTTCTGGGGTTCGTCCCCGATTTTTAAATCCCTAAAAACTCATAAATTGGATGAGGGGAAGTGGGGGTTTTTTGTTTTTTGTTTTTCGGAAAAGTTTTGTTGCTACGCATCTTACTTTAAGGCCTCGATAGACGATCAAATTCCCGAACCAATTCCGATCAAAGTAGCATCAAAGTGTCGGGAGTCACCAGTCTGAAATTCATTAATTTGCTTCATTTTAAAATGAAAACTTGACAGAAATGTTTCCTATGGCAGGAAATGATGAATGGTGGCACTCCGGTCTGTTCTTACTTTGATCAAAAAAGTGCGGCCCGTCAAAATTTGATGGTAGATGGTGACCACCAGTCATCCTTTGATCGGAATTGGTTCGGAATTTGATCGTCTATAGAGGCCTATACTGTTTGCTGTCTTTTTATCAGCTGTTTTCATTCAACAATCATCATTAAGTGAGGTTACTTCCAACACTCAACTGCCATCAACTTACATTTTTCTTTTCCCGCGTTTTTTTTT